CAGTCTCGGCCAGAGGTCAATTCTTCGTACTCTCTTCATCCGCAAAAAAATCGTATATGCCCGTCCTGCCACAAGCCGTTGCCTACGTCACTTCCGGCTTGTACGACTCAAGGCTGTACCTATATCCAACCACCTCCGAAAGAGTTGACGAGGGATTACTTTGCCCTTTTCGGATTACCTGGCCTACCAAAAAGGGGTGAAGATGCAAAGGGCGATACGAATGCTCGTAATGCGTTCCACATCGATCCCAAAACCCTTCGGGATCGGTTTTTGAGGATTCAAAAGGTTTCTCACCCCGATAGATGGGCACGACACGGAGAGGTGAGCACACTTAGAAATGAACTCGACCATTCTAATATCCACATTGTCTATATGAATCCATAGGAGGCGACAGAAGCTGCTGTTAGCCAATCCGCTCTCGCTACAAAAGCTTACCAAACCCTGCTCTCTCCTCGGTTGCGAGGCGAATACATCCTCTCGCTAAATGATATATATATCAATGAAGCGGACACAATGGAGCAGGAGCAAGAATTAATTATGGAGGTGATGGAAGCCCGAGAAGAACTTGAAGAAGCCGAAGGAGAAGAGGTTTCGAAACTGCTAAGGCAAAATGAAGGTTTGTTTACTTACATTGTTCGCCAGCATCTGTGACTGAGCATACAAAATTAGAGAGGACGGAAAAGTTGACCATGGAGTTGGAAAACGCCATTGCAAGCGAGGACTGGCTAGAGGCAAAGGGACTAGTCATTCAACTCAAGTACTGGGAGTCATTCCGACGGGCAGGAGAGGGCCAAGATGTTGATCATTGAGGAATTCCTATGTGGTGGATCCATCAGAAGTGACATTGTGAACAAAAAGGGAGAATTTCTAACTGGAATCAATACCATCTCCAATGTAGTAGCCGTTCCAAGCCATCCTATACTTTATTGACCTTGTTAATATTGAGTATGAGATCATGCTATTGATTCCAGCCATCCCAGATCATTTGTAGAACCACTGTGGGATCACAACTTATTGTCAATACTAATCCACATGTGTAGCCTTGATATGTTCTTTAATGGTGCAGTCTGAACTAGCTAGCCTACAGGATAGAGGGTGCAGGGAGACGTTTACTAATGATAGAAATGAGGTTAACACACTGTTCATAAGCCTTGTGTGTATATTCCATCTCTTCCATTGATTTCTTGGCTTTTTCTGCATGTGCAAGTGCTTGAGCATCCTCACCAAGTTTGCTTTGGTAAACTGCAAGACTATAGAGGGATGTCAAGGTGTCTGGGTGCATTTCTCCAAGGATTTGCTTCCTCAATTGAAGTACATTCTCCTCCAACTCCTTTGCCTGTTGATACTGACCAAGATCACAATATGTGGAAGCAAGATTTGCTGAGGCTCGAATGGTATCTGGATGCCGCTCTCCTAAAATCTCCTTCCTCAATTGAAGTACATTCTCCTGCAACTCCTTTGCCTGTTGATACTGACCAAGATCACAATATGTGGAAGCAAGATTTGCTGAGGCAAGAATGGTATCTGGATGCTGCTCTCCTAAAATCTCCTTCCTCAATTGAAGTACATTCTCCTCCAACTCCTTTGCCTGTTGATACTGACCAAGATCACAATATGTGGAAGCAA